ACTATATTCAAAAGACGAGTTGTGTACAGTAACTGTGTTGGTTCCTAATCCGCAGAAAATTTCACTACAAAGCAGTACATTTAAAACTCACAAAATGCGGAATGCTTTCATTTCAGGTGCCATTTAAAGGTCTCAAGGCGAACACATACTACAAATTGGTGACTGGTCGTCTAAGTGAACCTTTTACATATCCTCTCCATATTTTCAAAACTTTTGGGAAAACAACGAGTGGGGTAGTGTTGCCTTCATGCAAAGCGGTAACTCTGCATTGCACCCTTTGTCTCTGGCAGCCAGGTGTGTGTGTGTGGGCCCCTGCACACTAAACACAAGTGTTACGGTCCTTAATATTTTAGGTGATATCTTTGCAGAGAATGATTAATCTGTGCGGCTGTAATCTGCTTGTTGTCACTAATTGCAACAATCACTTACCAGCTATTGACTGCCAGTGACGACAAGTTAGTTGGAGGCCGTCTTCTCTATGTGGCTGAGCCTGTATTGTAGTAAGTATTGTAATTCTATGGCCGCCAGAGACGTAGGACAAGTTTAGAGATGTTCAGAAAATTGTGTCAACTTACCTATTCACCTCTTTCTTAAATTTCTTCCATTTCCCGATTAGTCGCGCCGGGTGCGGAAAGTTCACTTTCTGTGATATCAAGGATGCTGCTGCTATCAAGGAAGCCTATTGTTGCCTAGTGCGATAGTTGATAGCCTTTCGCCTTATCTCACCATCAGCGCTGGAGTACAGTTGTTGGTTTGTTCGAGAAGTCACCGCCATTTTTGATCGTGAAATTCAAAAGCGCCATATCTCGGTTCAAACGAGCCTTATTGAACTTGAACATAACAGTTACAATCTTCATACCTTGCCTTCAAGAAAAAAGTTGAATGGATCCGATGTTGAAAGTGCTGGCGTTCTGTAGGCAAGAAACTCGGCGGAAGCTGTTTTACCATCATGTTATGTTATGTTATGTTTATCACGCTGCTAAGGCAAACGCAGTAAAAGAAAATGTTGGGTCATGTGCTGAAGAAAATATATCTGAATGCCTATAGAGCGGCGTTAATATTAAGTTCAGGGCTGCAATCATGTTTTGTTCAATGCCTGATCTTTCTGAAATAATTATCTAGATGGTTAGGAAAGTGATAGTTGGCAGGTAAGAGGTTTTTGAGGTAGAGGTAAAATGTTCGCACTACAGCTATGAAGCGAAACCAATTCAACCTCTGCATTGTTGAGAGTGGGGCTGCGCAACAGTGGAGAGATGAGGCGGCGGCACCACTTGTTGACACTTCGAGCTTTTTTGCTCCTTACTCTATATTTGAAAACCCTATTTGGATGACGACTAAATTAAGAGCCACCTGTTACACAGTTCCACGCATTTGCCTCAACCACCACTAATCTCCTCCGGAGCTCCCAGCAGCGCTAGGAAAGCAGTTTGATTCACGACTGCGCACGGATTTGGGACCAAACGCTCAGTTGAAGTCCCATCTTACTACCGCACGTTTCTTACCAATTCTGAGGGGAATGAGTAACCTCGTGTCAAAATAATGAGTATGTTGTATTCAAGACTTCGAAAAAGGGAGAAAAGTGATCCGTTGTAAAAATAATGGCACAGAGAGCTAGAAACGGGTTTTTTGATGATGTGTTAGTATAGTAGCTCTTTAACACATTGCGGACCGCCGTTGTATGAGCACCTTCGTAGCTTTTTTATATTTTTCAAAAACGTATCATCATTAATCTATCAA